CTATTTTTTAGGGAAAATAGTTTTTTAATGTCATTACATTGAAAATTATATGGAGTTTTATTTTTATTTTTAATTATATGAGATGGATGTATTTTCTAATATTTTTTAATCATCTTTAATATTTTAATTAATAAATATACATTAATAATCAAATCTTATATTTATATTAATTTATTTACATTATAAATTATATAAGGTATTATTTTTTGTTATAGTTGTAAATTATATTTTTAAATTAGATGATATTATAAGATAAATTTTAAATAATTACAATTTCAATGTATAATATTATAGTTAGGAAAGTTGTGATAATTTTGGATGAGTAAAGAGAATTAATAAAATTTTGATGTGATACCAATTTCACTTTATATGGGGTATTATTTTTTTTAATCTTATAATATGGAAGTTTTTTTTAATATTTTTTAATCATTTTAATGTAATATTATAATATTATATTATAATTAATAATTATACAAACATCTAAATTGGGAAATAGTGTATCCATATTCACGTATATTTGCAAATAATGAAACTACATAATGTACATCCCCATTTTTTAAAACTAAAAAAAAGTATTTCTAGAGATTTTTAGTATTTTTTTGTAGCCAAAACAACCGATCCGGCCGATTCTCTGATCTAGAATGCCGATCCACCGATCCAACACGATTTTTAAGGTGGCCGATCCGGATTACCAATCTATTTTTGTAAACCTTGGATCACATAGAATAGCATAACCTTGCAATAGGTTTAATTTTATTATGATAGCAAGGCTGGCAATGAACCTATACGAAATGTACTTTTGGATCGTGTCAATTTTACTCTCTCTAATGAAATGTATTATATTGTGGTTATAATGTAATTTAGGAATAACTTAGAGCATGGGTTCCCAATACGGATAGACGGTGGACTTTCAACTGAAGTGTCTCATGTTCTGTAATTTCTGAATATGTATCTATGGTATGCTAGGGAAAGGTTGCTATACTTTCCTCACGAAGATTTATGCTTCCCCTATCATCCAGCTGTCCAATTTTGATCAAGAAAGCTACTCACCATTTAATCTTAGATTTGACATTTCAAAGTATTTTATTTTTAGTTTTTGTTATACAAATTGTATGAATATGAAATTTTGTACGTGTCATCTTCTCATTGAGGCACACCTATAATATAATGACCAAAATACCCCTTGAAACTTTTAGGGGTATTTTGGTCATTTTATTTTATTGAAAATATGTTTTTTATATTTTTCACTAGTGAAAGTTTAATAGAGGATTGGATGTCCAAAATTTAGTGTCAAAATAATTTATAGAAAAAATAAAAAATAAAATAGTGCAAAGACGTGACATTGAGATTGGGGCAATCATAACCGTCTATTCAAAATGGACAGTTGGATAAGGGAAAGTATATAACTTTTATGTTGTAGGAGAAGTATAGAAAACGTGCCCATCTAATAATTCTCAAAAACTTAATGTGAGGAAAAACAAAGTTTTCTTTTATGGGACATTACGAGGTTTTAAGCATTTGATTCTAACGGAACTGGGGTTTGGTGAAGGATCCCTTCCGGTATGCTATTTGGGGCAGCCTCTTTTTCATGGAGGTTGGAAGATCGTTACTGTCATTCCTTGGTGGGTAAAATGATTAGTAGATTGGGACTTGGCAGACAATATCTTTATCATATGCAGGTCGTCTTCAATTATTGAAGTATGTTCTGCTCTGTTCGGCAATCTTTTGGCTATTATCTTTTGTTTTTTCTTTGACCAAGAAGCTATTACCTTTTGTTCTTCCTAAGCGCAAATGTCATATGGTAGAAAGGCTACAACGAAATTTCCCATAGGCAAGTACTGCTGAAAAAAAAAGAAATTCACTTGGTGAAGTGGAAGACAGTATATCAACCCACATAAGAGGGTGGATTGGGTATTCAGAATATCTTAGAATTCAATATTGCATGTACGATCAAACTGGATTGGAGAATGGTTGCAAATCCCACTACTCTTATTTTTTGTTTTTTCAAGCATGGGTATTTTAGATGTTCATCTATATGGGATTCCAAAAATAAATATTGCTCTTACATCAGGAAAGGGATTCAAATGGTATTATCTTTTCTCAGACAGAATGTCTGGTGGATTATTGGGGACGGCTAGATAGTGGACTTAAGGCGGATCCGTGGTTATCAGAGAAGTAATCTTATGGTGCCAAGGTTCATGAAGATCTTGAAGTTGTTGTTGAACCTAAAGTAGTTGATTCTTTATACAGTTCCACTCAGACATGGTCGCTCCCTTCTCCTACTTTTGGTCCTTTGATTAATTTGGAAGGAGATCGAAGACTTTGTGATTCCGTTACAACCACAACGAGATTTCTTAATATGGAACCATTCTTCTAATAGATCATTCTCTATTAAGGAGGCATGGACTTTTATTGGAAGTTTATTCGGAATATAGGCTCTATTGAACCAATTTTCAAAGCTTTGTGGCCTTCGAAGTACAATCACAGGACCAAATGGTTTTCTTGGCTAGCTATTCATCATCGACTTCCCCCACCTTCTCTCTTTTATAGCAAAGAGAGATATCTACAGATTCCATGTGCCCCTTTTGCTGTTCTAATGATGATAATATTTGCTATTTGCTTTTCCATGTGTGTTTTCTCGTAGGGTATTTGGAGATTTGTTGCATAGAGGTGCGGTAAAATAATTATCTCAAACACATCTGTTCCAAACTTGCCCAGGACTTGGATTGCTTTCAAATTCAAGTGAGAAGGTCTTTTGAATGTCTGACTATCCCTATTTTTTCCCATGTTGTGGGAGGTACAAAATTATCAACTTTCTTAGGAGAAGGTTTCTCGACGGGAGCACTTGCTTAGGAGGATTGCCTCTCATGTTAGCGATTTGGCGGATGATTATCAAAAAAAGAAATCGTTGATAACTTCCAAATCACAAGAGACAACATCAAATCAAGCAGCACATACCTATTGCACAGTCCTGTCTTAGTCCTAATAATTTCAAATTAAATGTTAATGGTACTTCACTTCAAAACCTTGGGCTGGCAGGTAGAGGAGACATAATTAGAAGTGATGATGGATCTTTTATTGCAGCATTTGACAATTTCCTTGATATAGTATCAAATAACCATGCAAAGTTTCTAGCCTTGTAAGCTGGCATTGACTTGACCATCCAACTCAAATGTTTCTCTCAACAAATCGAGAGCGACTCTTTATTATCAGTTAATGCAATATGTGATCGATGCAACTCCATGGGCGTTGCATGTTGTTATTACTAACTGTTGATATAAACTCTTTGGTCATGTTTAGTCCGTTACCTAAATTTATCGTGAGGCTAAAATGATAGCCGATTTATTTGCTAAGAAAGCCACCACTTTCTTAGATATCACTATTTGGCGATCTAGATCGCTGGATTTTCTTTCTCTTGCATTACTTGATGATGTTGTACAACTTCCTTATTTTAAGGCTATAAAATTATGATATGTAATTCCACCATTATTAATGAAAATCGGGTAAGGAGCCTTTTCCTTCATTGACTTACCCAAAACAAACAAAAAAAAAAAACTGTTGAGAGTGAGAGAGAGAGAAGCTAAGTGTTTCATCCTTTGTAAATTGTGAATGCAATTTTATGGTTCTTCTTTTGAAAATTTGTGAATGCAATTTTATGGTTCGTTCTTTTGAAAATCGTCGACAACATATAGAGAGAGAGATTGAATCAAAATCCCACCTTAAAATGATAAAAAAAAAATGATCTGAACCATCAAATTTGTTTGCCACATTATCGATATCTTGTTTCGCATTATTGATAATATAATATCATGGAATCACACTAATGAAATGATTGGTTAAACTGATTTAATAGCAACCAACCAAAATCTAGTTTTCAACTTAATGGAGCCAAACAAGGGATTTGTTATATATTGGGTTCTTCCAACAGCTACCCAAACAACATTTTGCCAAACAATCAAGTTTTACATAGACTGGTATTTGCATAACCAGACTTATTTACGTATCTAGGGACCCACATAACCCATAAGAGCGGCACATTTAAAATGAAGACAGGGAAAAGACTAGTTGAACACATTGGCATGACTATTTTCGAAACCAAAGTTTATAAAACCTAGTGGAATTCAGCAAAGACACATCAGTTTGTTGGGATGCATTCTGATCCCCCAAAAAGATCTCGTCGTGAACTGTGCTTGCTTGCACAACTGACATAATCCCAACATAATCAAGCAGCACATCACTTGAAAAACTTAATGTCTCAAGATTGAATTGAGACCATTCAATTTTTTAACAATGAGATCTAAGTATTAAAAAACTCAAATTTCATTTTCATTTTTTTGGGAAATATTCATCTGGTAATTCTCAAAGTAGTTTCCAAACTTTCAGATTGAAAAAATCCTCCCAAGTTGATCTTCTGACCAAAGGAATACAGGTAAACTATGGTCCTGAGGGAGCATACTATACAAGCTCATCAAATGCCAAAAGATACTCTACTCCTGCAGGACTAGAATGTTCATTACTCCCTCGGATACATTTGACACGCCTGAAATCCAACAACATTTGTTAAATCTCTCACAAATGGTAACAGTATACTTTGCTAGGGCACCAATCACTCCCTATTTTTGCTTTTCCTACTGGTAAAACTCAAAAGAAACTACTATAAAGATGATCCTGCAATCCTTTCACACAAAGAAGCATCTTTCCAAGCAGCACCATACACCATCACTTAAGAGCTTTGTTCTGAATTTTATGGTGTGCAAAGCAACAAGCTTATGTTATTATGCCTACCTGAAATGGGAAAACTGGCAGCCTACGTTTTGTTTGACTGTGAATTGCCATGGGGATCCCAACTGCTCATCATGCTGGTACGAATTATATCAAGGACATCATCTCATTGAAGTTTGAATCACTTACACTAGAAAATTCATGCTATGTTGAGAGAGAGCGGCCATAAAGAGGGATGCGGCGAGACTGTAAACGTGACTTGACGGCACTAAGACCCATTGGGAGCTCAACAAGAAATCGCCATATTTTTATGTGGTGGAACAGTAACATACAATACATAATGAGCAAGTCACATGATGACCACCATATAAGGTCATAAGACGCAGCAAGGTGAGAGTTGGAGAATAGAACTATGGTAAGAAAATTCACAGCTGAGCCGAGCATGAAAATACTCTATATAGAAATTGCACATCAATAATGAATGCGAGCCCAAAAGATTCAAATACTAGAATATGGGCTCCTACAAACTCAGGAAGAGACCACAGGCTGCATAATAGTTCCCATTGAAGAATTTGTTAACCGGAATTTTTATCACCACCAAAGGCACTGGTTAGGAAACCAGTTCCCCGGAGGTGACTCACATCACCCCAAGATTTGATGATCCACTCATAGTCACAGGACAGATGAAATATGTTTATGGATGCATTCATGATCTTCCCCGGTTGAGGTACTCGAGATGGGCCTGCGCGCTTGTGCAGAGCTCGGATGACACCACCATGAGTGACAACCACCACCCGCTTTCCTGCAGCAGGCACTGATGAATGATAAGTCAATCATTATCTTTTCCAAGTAAAATGGATGAATTATAAGTCAATCATTATTTTTTCCAAGTAAAATGGAGAAACCAATCACTTACTATCAACAAATAAGTATTACTCAAACATGAGTTCAATTTGATAATTAATTCATAGTAATAGAAATTGTGTCTCATGTTTGGTCCAATTTTACATGAATGAACTACCATGCAGTTTGTTTCGTCAAGTTACATCAGATTGCTTCTGACTCCAAGATTTTAGGTCACAATCACTAGATTAACATAAGTTTTAAATCACAATTTTTATGACAATGTTTCTCGAGACCTCGAAGAAAAAAGCTTGGATGCGATTTATTCCTCCACATACACCAAATAACAACAACAGCTTCTGATTATCAATGACAGTGATTGAGACTCACTGCTTCTTGTTTGTTCATAAAAGTGAACTACCAGACACTAACTCATATGCAAGTTGACCAGCAAAAGACACAAAAGCCATTCCTTGTGCATTTGTACAAACCAGTGTTTCAAAAAGTGCTAGGCGGCACCTAGGCGGCCGTAGGGGTCCAAGCCGCCTAACGCCTAGGCAGGCGCCCAAAACCTAGGCGGCCCAATTGGGAAAAAGAAGATAGAAATCGAGAAGAGAATTTTGATAATCCATAAGACAATTATCCATATTCTCATACAATGCTAAAACAGTAAAATCATATAAGCATACACTGATAGTCAGATACACTATAGACTGTACACACAAAAGTTGGATAGTAGAAACTACAAAGTAGAAACTAAATATATATATATATATATATATATATATATATATATATATATATA